TTTCCCAGTAAATAAGGCAGCACCCTTTCAGGCGAACAGAAGACACCTGTTCAAGCCAATAGTTCTACTTCAGCTTCAACCATAACAACACAAGAGCACACAATAGATACAAACTCAAAGTTAACCGCACCAAACTTGATTGCAGGAAATACGACTTCAGCAATAGAGTGGTCAATGTCTGGAATACTCTACCCGACTCTGTAGTTTCTTCCCCAAACCCCAAAAACTTTAACCTTAGACTGTCTACTATTGACCTCACCCCTTTCCTAAGAGGTCTGTAGGGGGCGTGCATAAGCGCACCAACGTGCCTACCATCCCTGTCCTATTGTTTCTTTTATTCTTCTTTTATTTTTCTTATATGTACCCATTTCATGTATTCACAACTATGTATACACTTATACTTATTATCTTGTAAACAATTGGCAAATCAAATAAATAAATAAATAAATAAATAAAATAAATACCTAAGTCTACTTACTAGTAATTCACTTGAAACTGTAAAAAAAAAATTTAAAATGTCATCTTCCTGAATAAAAATATGGATATCAGTTCAAGAAGATGGTCATCTTATTCAAAGGAAAGATTTGGAACCACCAAACCTATGTAAGCCAATACCCAGAGCCTGGATATAGTCGTCTATTATGCCTTTGAAAAAATAGCAAAGGTATTTCCCCCCTAAATGCAAATGAGTGGCTTGTATGTGTGTGGGGCAGGATGTAGAACCAACTACAGCCTCCAGTGACTAGCTACCTCACTGAAGCAGCTCCTAACCTGCCTCCATGACATATTTAACACCTGGAAAATCAAATGATTCCAGGCACAGGCATCTCTCACATTGGGGGCAGGGATGGAGGGGGAATCCAGCACCCTTGTCTGATTCATAGTGCAATGTTCCATGAGAATGTGCAAAGCAGCTTTAAAAAAAAAAAGCTTAAATGGAGCTCTTCCCCCCCCACCCCAAGTGTAGCACTATACGCAGAGAAAAGAACTAGCAATCAAAAGCAAGCATCCCAGGAATTTTACAGAATCACAGAATAAGAGTTGGAAGGGATCTTAGAGATCTTCTATTCTAATCCCCTGTTCAAGCAGGAGAGCTTACACTATTCTGGACAAATGTCTGTCCAATCTCCTTTTAAAAGAATAATAAAATAATTCTTATTATGTGACTTTAAGTTTTCCCTGCAGAACTAGCACAAACTCAGGAAAAAAAAACATAGGGCAAAAACAGTACTCTTCTAGCACCTTACAGACTATTAAAAGCTTCTGTGGAGTATCTTTGAAGGGTTTAAAACTGCAAGACTGCACTTTCCAGGAATCAAGAAGAACTCTCTAGATCTCACGAAGATTCAGTTCTAGATGAAACCTCCACGGACTTTGATTGCTGTAGTCTAAACCCACCTTTTTAAGATGTCAACGAATGTTTTATCATGATGTTTTTAGTAATATCATTGCAGATTAATTTCATTGTCTAAGTAAAAAAATACAAACAGTTATCTTTTCTCTGTTCCAGCAATGGGACCATAATCCTCAGCTGAAGCGGCTTATGCCTGATTTGTTTAGCTGATTCCCAGGACCAATCCTTTGCAGCCAAGTTAACCTGGAAGGTAATCTTTCTGCAGATTGCAGTGTGATGAACCAGCCTTCATTGTGTTTTACCATTTAGCACTGGGTTCAAAGCATACTTTCAGGTTTTAAAAACATGACAATAATCTACGTAAGATATACTAGCAGACATAAGACAATAATCTACGTAAGATATACTAGCAGACATAAGAATTAAAATAGTGAAGTCTTGAAAACCCACTCCTTCCAACCCCAACTAATTTGGGTGAGCCCTTTTTTCCTAATCCAGTTTGGAAATATATGACATATTATATCCCATACATTTCTCTCATAATCCAATCAAGTATCCCTGCCCTTTTGTTATTGGGACTTCTATTTCAGGAGGTGTAACCAAGATGTCTTGTATTTCACTGGGCATAGAATTCAAAACTTAAAAGCCTGCTGGTGAATGGATGAGTTGGGAATCAAGGGGGGAAAAGGCAAGCTGGGGAAGATAGCAATTCAGAACAACAGTCCTGTCTTTCATGTTCTGGAAAGAAATTTATGTCCAAACGTCTGAAATATGCTCTAAAAGATGGATCTTTTCATAAGGTTGAATGAGCACTGGTAACATTGGAACCAAATTAATTCTTATTGTTAATATCATATGTGGAATAACCAATCCACATGTGTGACTGCCTGAACAGCAGATCTTCAATTTTTATGCATATTTTCTCTCCCAAGGAGATACATAGTATAATATTCAGTGGTTTTAAGAAGACAGGCAAACAGTAGTCCTGATTAGGATGATTTGGTATGTTCTACTTAAGGAGGGACCGAAGGAAACTTTGCAAAGCCACTGCGAGGTCTATATTCAACATCTGTAGAATAAAGTTACTTGGATTGATTTATATAATTGGGTAAGAGGTAGTCTTGCCTCATTATCTTGGAAAAGTTTTAGGCTATTTGTCCTGTGAAGTGAACAAGGCCATCAAGGTCATATTTTGTTCAGTCACATTTGCTTTAAATCAATATCCCTTCTCTGGTTGGTTACCACCACCTGGGAGGTGATATATATGGTTGGGCCTATGTAATGGTGAAGGCGTCCCTGAGGGAAGGAGATAGGGGTTCCTCTGGCTATAGGCCTTGAAGCCTTCTGCATCTGGAGATTTTTCATCTGCTCCTTTCCAACTCTGAACGAGGATGCACTCTCCCAACCAGAATTGGTATGCAACTTTGGGGGGGGGGGTCCTCCTGGACTTGTAGCTCCTATTCAAAGAGGAGGTGATAACTGTAGCCAAGAGGGCCCTTGCACAAATCTACCCGTGTTTCCCTGAAAATAAGACAGGGTCTTATTTTCTTTTGGGTCCCAAAATAACCACTAGGGCTTATTTTCAGGGGTATCTTAATTCCCCCCCCCCCATGTACAGGAGGCTCAATTCTGCTGCTTGCTTACGGTGGGGCAGGCTGCGTAGCATGCTAGTGCCGCCACTACAAGGTGGGGGTGGGGTGGTGGAGCTGCTTCATGCTAGTTTACCTCAGGGCCCCCGCAGCCAGGCCATCCATGCCCCGACACCTGGTTCGCGGCACCAACACACCACTCAGACTCCTACTCCGTTGCGGCTGCAAGCAAGCAAGCAGAAGTGGGTTGGCGCGTGGCTACTGGTGCTACCATTGCGAGGCAGGTGTTAGGATGTGGATGGCCTGGCTATGGGGCCCCTGAGGTAAGCTGGTGCAGGGTGTGTGTGGCAGCTCCACCACTACTCCTGCCTTGCCTCGTGGCTACAGCACTACGAGCAACCAGACAGAATGGGTGGCCAGACAGCTATGCAGGCTCTTTAGTAGGGCTTATTTTGGGGATAAGGCTTATTCATGTAAAAACATGCTAGGGCTTATCTTCAGGATAGGTCTTATTTTCTGGGAAACAGGATATCTTGTGCGCCAATTCCACACATTTCTAGCCTGGGAAATTGACTTCCGGTTACTCATTCTTTAGTCACCTCCTCTCTGGACTACTACAATATACATCACATGGGCTGCCCTTGAAGACTATTTGGAAGCATCTGGTCAGGAAAAAAATGGTAAATGATGAAATCCAGGATATATGCCTTCTCTTTGAGTGACTTATGGAACCCCATTCCCCATAATACAAATAGTCTGGACTCTGTTGGCCTTCCATAAGCCTTAAAGACCTGACATTTTTACCAAGCTTTGAGCTAGTATGAACCTAGTTCATATCATTTGCATGTTTCTGCTTTTATTTTACTGAGACTTTGATATCATCGCAATGTATTGATAGTTATCATTTTTTCTTTGTCTTATTGTTAATATATTAAATTGTTGTTCGCCGCTTGAAGTCATATATAACATGGATGGCCATATACATATTTTACATTAATTAAATCAATAAAAATAAACATTCAAAGGCCATTTTCTTTTCCTGGTTGATAGGTGTTTACCTTGTCCAGAGAGCAGGAATGAGCAAATGGGCTAATGGTATTGTGGGGGCAGAGGAAATTAAGAAGACAATTGTAGCAAACAAGTCTCTTTGATCTTCACCTTCATATACATTTGGCAGACTAAAAGTACCACCTTCCATTTGGCTCTATGTTGACAGACCATAAGAACAAATGGGCAGAATGAGAAACTATCAGACATTAGAATGCATTAGATTTGCACCAATAGTACAGATGGAAGTTATCTTAGCTTCATGTCAGCAAAGTAAACTTTTAATGTGGGGTTTCTAGAAGTATATTTGCTTCAGTGATGGATCTATCATCAGATTTATTTCCAGATATAACAAATATGTCTAATTTTCCCAGACTCAGTTTCTTGTATACCTTGAAGCTTAAATCAATTCTGCCACAAACAGAGCTGCTGCAGTAATGGGTGCTTGCTAAGGAAAGAAAAAGGGCTCCCTCTGGAGTGTAATCAGAGTTAATACTGAGCTGATTTATAGGACATCTTGAAGAAGGAAGGCACTTGCTCCTCCTTCTGAGCCATTGAAACTTGGAGCTTTGCTGAGCTCTCGTCACGCTTGCAAGGCTCAGAGCCTCCAAAGCCCAGAACAGTCGTTTTTAGGCACTTATTCATGGCCATCAGGCAAATGCAAGATTCATAAAGGGAAAAAAGTTGCTAGCAGAGATCTCAGGTCAAAGAAAGCAACCAGAATATAGAATAGGGACTGAACCTCTAAATCTTGTCAGATATATACATTTAAAAACCTGGAAGAAGGTCTTGTTAGTTATACTGTCAGGCAACAAATTTCATTCGAAATGAGAAGTAGTTGTGTCAAGGGTTAATAAGTTTATGCTTCATAGGTTGGTAGGAATAAATGATATAAAAATGTGACTCTATGTTGCTGAATTTATTTGCATCTAACCCTATCATGACCAACGTAACACCCAAACGTTTCATGCATAATCAAAGAAAAATGAGGGTTAAGGCTGTTAACTTACTGCCTGTTTTTGTTCTTCTTCCTATAGAGAATTGTAATTGGAACATGAGAGAGAAAAAGAAAAAAGAAAGGACAATTGTTATCTTGAAAACACAAACACAGTTGAGTATTAGAGGGGACACCAATGTGACTTAACACATAAGGAACAAGGGATAAGGATATAAAACACTGCCAGACCTTAGGTTTTTTTCTTGTCAGTGTCTCACACCTAGAGGATTTATGGTCACATGAAAACACAAGAATTTGCTAGGTAAGACATGTCCATTTGAATCAAACTTTTTGTCCCCCCAATGATCAAACATGCTTATAAGTCCACAAAACAAATCACGAACACAATTGGTTTGTTTTATACCTTCTCCCTAGCAATTGTTATTCAAAGCAACTTGGTGTGATATCAGAGATAATATATAGTATAATATATAACAAGTTCACATTGACCACTTATCACTTTCAAATTTATTATTCTTATGAAGCAACCTCTTTTAAAATTCTTTTCCAATCCTAATTCTAATGGCCCTAAACCATGATCTGAATGAATGAATAAGAGAAAATCTTGTTGGTTCATCTCCAAATTCTGTGAAAACATTTGTTATTAATTCATTGGACAAATGCTCAAATAATTAAACACTCTCAGTCTATTTTCAAATGGTGAAAAGAAGCATAAAAAGGAAGTGCTCCAAGACCCTCACAGAAAAATATCTATATTCCAATCCACAGGAGGGTTAATTTAAGTACTAAATTAAATAAGTATTTTATAGATACAGTGGATCAGATTCAGATGTTAGGAACTAAAATGTTCAGGAATATGGAAGACAAAACCCGTGAGGAAATGATGACAGAACATGGGAAAAAAATTGAGTAGGGTCAGGACAGGAGTCTTCAAAGATTTGATAGAAAAAGAAGATGAATTGCTGCCTGCTGTCCCAGAGGGCATGGCTGTATTTAAGGACTTAAATTATAAGAGGAGATTTCAGATTTCAATAGGTTTTTCTATCAGTATCAGCAAACCATCAATGAAATCAACTTTGTAGAGTAGAGTAGAAAAGCTCTGTCCCTAAAGTTCCATGCAGCTCTCGACCTAATTTCAAAAGCCCTCTGCAAGCAATTAGTTCAGGTCTCTTGCAAAATAATCTATCCCTCCTCCAGCAGTGCCAGTGGAAGAGGCATGGAGAGAAAAGATTGTCCCACCCACATTTGGCCCTGATTGCAGCCATTCCTAGCATGTAGCCCTCAATAGATTACACCAAGAGACCGTAGCCTTGGAGACAAAAAAAAATATTCCTTAAGTTAGAGATATAGGGTGAGTTCTTCCTCATAAGAGCCTTTTAGCGGATGCTGGGCAATCCTCTTTTGAGATGATCTAGCTTTAGAGTTCCTGCATGAAGTAGAAACCTGGACTGTTTTTTGGTCAGAAAGAAGCAAGAATGGTGCGAGGAGGGAAACACAGCAAGTGCTAAACGCTGCAACAAGCAATTTCACTCCTATTAACCAAAGACAAAATGTAGCACAAGAGCCACCTCAGATCTATGCTATTCCTATATGCTTCAGCAACTAAACTAGTTCATATCAGAACACTGGCCAACATCTCTGGTGAAAGAACACAAGGTTTTGTATGCAGCAAATCCCAAATCCAATCCCTTCAAATGTCAGATAAAAAGAGATCAGTTGAAAAAGCACGCTCCAAGGACTGAAATAGAAGTTCACAACACAGATGGCCAAGTAGCACCGCAGGTACATTGGCCATAGGATGAGTGCAGGCATGATATACCTTTAGCAGCTTCATGAGCCCTTCCAGTTGTACCATCAGTTCCCTTCGACTTTCCTGAAGAGCAGACATTCGTTGTTCCAATTCATCTTTCCTTTGCCTATTCAAGATTAATAAACGGATAATTTCATTAGTTTGTTATCTTGTCCTTTCTGTTCTGATTATCATCGCTTCTGTAATCACTATCCTAAATTAATGTGGGAGAGGTTGGTTGATTACCGCAATAGCCTTAATTCAGCCAGTAAAGTTGGATTCTGCTGGGCTTTTTCGGGTGTTGGCTGGGAAGCCTGTTCATGTTCCAGTCTGAGGCGTTGGATTTCTTGAAGTATTTCTCTAGAAAAATAAATCTGAAATTAGTAAAACACGATTCTTCTTTTTTACTCAAATACCCTGGATGTGCTTTTCAGAGTTTGAAAAGGGCCGGTTGATACTCCAAATATATCCTCCTATACATTAATAAAGTCAAAGCTGGTAGGGGCTGACAAGGAAAAGGGTGTTGGAATCAGGATTGATAGCTTAATGAAAAAAATCACTCTTATGTGCAGCTGCTATAAAACAAGACAAATCCCATGGTTGAAACCATTAGGAAGGGAACTGGAAACAGAAATGTCTATATAATAATGTTGTTATAGAAATCTATGGGCTGAGGTCACATTTGCTGTGTTGTGCTCAGTTCTGATCACTGCACCTTACAAAGAGTATTATAGCATTATAAAATGTGCAAAATGGGGCAACTAATGATTGGGGGAATGGCTCCCTACGAGGGGGAGATTACAACACCTGGGGCTCTTTAGATTGGAAAAGAGAATAAAGGGAAGTATAATACAGATACATATAATCTTGCATGGTTTAGCTAACATGGAAGAACTTTTCTTCTGTAACAGTGTTAAAACTCAAGGTCATGTATCTGCAAGACAAAAAGAAGGTAATCTTTTCTCACATAGCGCACAATTAAATTGCGAAAAACAAGGGCAGCCATTGGAGGTAGTAACAACCCCAAACTGAATAACTTTTAAAAGGGAACTGAATGTTAGTTTATCAGAAACCATTAATATTGATCACTGTTTACTGCTCTCTGAAGAGGCAGCAGACATTATTATATTTTATTATTTTTTAATTTTTAATGCTCCCTATCTCTCCCATATAAGATGCCATTATATACTGGTTGTTCTCAAACAACCAGTATGAGAGGTCCTTTGATTCATTCCAGACTTGTGACTCCCCAAATACATCTAGTAGATCTTTGGGAGTAGGGAGTTGAAAATACTAGGTGAGGCAGTCATGCCATCATGCAAATAGGATGACCTAGGTTTCCCCCCACCCGAGCCTTGGAGACATAGTTTTGTTATTATTTTAATATGCTTAGTACATTATAAGGCCAGGATGGCAAACCTATGGCACACGCATGCCACAGGTGGCACGCAGAGCCCTCTCTGCAGGCAAGCGAACTGTCGCCAAGGTCAGCTCCACCAAACATGCACGCGTGCCTCCCACTGGCCAGCTGATTTTCAGGTCTCCGCAGAGTATGCAAGGGGCCCGGGGCGCATGTGGTAGACACATGTGCATGCACAGGGGACGTGCCGCATGCGGGAGACATGCACACATGTGCGGGATCATGCACGCATGCACGGGGTGGCACGTCCCCTCCCGCAGCCCGTTTTTGTTCCCGGGAGGTTGCAGGATGGTCTACTAGGCCCAAAACAGGGCGCAGGAGGGTTGCTCGTGCATCCGCGTGGGGGCACATGCGCATGCACATGGGCGGGTGGAGTGTGCATGCATGCGCAGGGGGTGGGGCATGTGGGGGGAGTCACACGCGAATTGCATTATGGGTGTGGGCGCACACACTTTCGGCACACGATGACAAAAAGGTTAGCCATCACTGTTATAAGGCATATTTAAAATATAAAACATATATTTGTTTTACACTTTCCATCTAACAAATGGCGATGCCCAGAGTTGTGCTCTAAGATGGGTGGCCAGACAAAACTTTTAAAGAAACAAATATAAATGGCTGAAATCATATCATCAAAGGGATGGATTTTGCATATGGCTTATTAGGAAACATGAGAAATTTGCCTCATTGATTAACAATCAGTATCAGTATCCAGCAAACTCAGTTTGCGGCTTGGACCCCATAAAAACCACCAAACCAGCTCTATCTCCCTAAAATATAGTCACCTTGAACCTGAGATGAGCAGGGAAGGAGGGAAGGAAGGAAAAGCGAGAAAGAAAGAGATAGATAGACAGATAGATTTATGGAAGGAGGAAAATCAGGACTATAGCAGTAAGTAAGCACCTCAGCCAATTAGGTCAGGATGAAGAAAGTTTGCTTCCTTAAGAGCCCATAAAAGCTGACATTCTCTCTCCTACTCTCCTAATATCTTACCTGTTCTTGTTTTCCAGTTCTGCTATCAGTTGCCTTTGCTGTTTGTTAGCATCAAAATTGAACCCCAGATCTATTGGTGGCCGTGTCTGGTAAAAAAACAGGCAACATTTAAATAGACTGACTGAATTCTGCCTAGAATATGCAGAGAAACACAAGAGTTATGCTTCTATGGAAAACTCATGAAAAAGCTAATAAAAGAAAAAAGTTGCTTGGTTCCATGCTCACATTGCTTTGGTGAGCAGTTTCTCAACATCTGGCAAGAATGGCAGGGGAAAATGTACAAAGAGAGAAACTCAATGAAGCACCTTGTTAGAAGAAACTGACATGGGGGGAGAACATGGGATGGTTGGCCTTCTGGATCCTAAAATCTTATCCTATAGAGCAGGGGTCCCTAACCACCGGTCCGCGGACCGGTACCGGGCCACGGAACAACTCCTACCGGGCCGCTGGCTTGCTGGGCGCCGCCATCTTTTTTTCATGAAAAAGTGCTTCCGGTGAGCTTTTCCGGGTAGAAAGCTCACCGGAAGCACGTTTTCATCAAAAAAAGATGGTGGCGCCAGCGCTTCCGGTGAGCTTTTCCGGGTAGAAAGCTCACCGGAAGCACTTTTTCATCAAAAAAAGATGGCGGCGCCCAGCTGATGCCGGTACCGGGCTGCGGCACCCAGCTGATGCCAGTACCGGGCCGCGGCGTCAAAAAGGTTGGGGATCACTGCTATAGAGAACACCCCATGATCCCTAATTCAATAAGCCTTCAATGTACTCTTTAATTGTTTTGCTTTTACTAATTGGGAAGAAGTTTTTTTCCTACAGGATGTTTCCTAAGGCAACATCAGTCCAGAGGTGGTATTCAGCAGGTTCTGACCAGTTCTGGAGAACCAGTAGTGGAAATTTTGAGTAGTTCGGAGAACCAGCAAATACTACCTCTGAGTGGAGATTTTACAGTATCCTTCCCCTGCCACCCCCACCAAGCGACACCCACAGAACCTGTAGTAAAAAAAATTGAATCCCACCACTCCATCAGTCCCAATTAAATCAATCATAAATGTGAGCATTAGTAAGGGAATGGATTTTTTTTATTACTATTTACTACAGTCATGTTTGAAGAATGGTCTAACTGTATTATCCCTCAAAGTCTATATGGGAAAAGAAGGGAGGATAAATTGTGCTCCACACAGGTAAAAAAGAAATTAAAGATTCTTTTAATCCACAAAATATTTTACCTTCTTTTGAAAAGGTTTTTTTTTCTTGGCTGTGATTAGAGAATCTTTTGAAAAAAAGACTTTGAATACACATTGACTAAATATTCCAGCATGGTTTTCAACTATATGAATCCCAGTTCCATAAAGGATGAACAGGGCTGTATCTGATGCAATCTGATGATTTTAACCAGAGGCACTCCCAGGCATTAAATATTCTGATACACTGTAAAAACCTCAAAACAGCGAAGTGTTATCACATCTGCCCAGCCATATTCTAAGTCCCAACATTTAGCCAGCTAACTATAGATAGCCAAGTATTAAACAAGATTGGCTCAATGGCTAAGACGCGGAGTTTGTCGGTCAGAAAGGTCGGCAGTTCGAATCCCTAGCACTGCATAATAGAGTGAGCTCCTGTTACTTGTCCCAGCTTCTGCCAACCTAGCAGTTTGAAAGCATGTAAAAAATGCAAGTAGAAAAATAGGGACCACTTTGGTGGGAAAATAACAGCGTTCCATGTGCCTTTGGCTTTTAGTCATGCCAGCCACATGACCACGGAGACGTCTTCAGACAGCGTAGCTCTTTGGCTTTGTAACCGAGATGAGCACCGCCTCCTAGAGTCGGAAACGACTAGCACGTATGTTTACCTATTGTTGCTCTTCCTCATTTAATAAAACATTTTTACAGCATTCTCCTCCAGATCACTTCAAACAATAACTATCATCGTCCTTAATGGCATCTCTATTGATCCATCGGTATTAAGTATCAAGCTTGTCTTCTTACACAATGCCAATGTACACCCTTCAGTAACTGTTGGCTATGCTGCACATATGAAAGAAACATATGAAAACATGGAACTGTTGTTGAAGTACATACAGTACACCAAATGCAACTGTGGAAATCTGTGGAAATCTAAAAGTAGTGGTTCTCATCCTTGGAATTCAACTAGGATATACAAAGTACTGCTATTAATACGTATGTGAATAGAACAGCCATACAAGAGAGTAACATTACATTAAAAAGAAATGGCCACTCCAAAAGATAGAACAGAAAAATGTGGCACTTGAATGTGGCACTTTGCCCAACAAAGATATCTGTGCCTCTACTTCACATAAAAACTTGTACCGATGAACAATTTTGTGAAAATTTTGTGAAAACAATGAACAAGAAAGGTGAAGGTTTTTGTTATATAAGACAGATGTTTCTAAAAAATAATGGATGTCAAGATTAAGAAAGGCATTTTTGTTAGATCAGATACATCATCAATGACAAACAGTTCAAAGATATGTTAATAGGATCAGGGAAAATTGGTTGGAAAGCATTCAAGGATGTTGTTGAGAATTTTCTTGGCAACTATGGACATATCTCTGGACAACTGCATAACTGGATAGAAGCATTCCTGGCAAACAGACAACAAATGGTCAAAATTGGGAGCGTCCTATCAAATTCTGTACCTGTCAATAGTGGTGTCCCCCAAGGCAGTGTTCTAGGACCAACTCTCTTCATACTCTACATAAATGACCTCTGTGATCATATTAAGAACAATTGCATTCTTTTCGCTGATGATGTAAAGCTGTTCAATACCACAGACAATACTGCTATCCTACAAAAAGATCTTGACTATGTATCAGAATGGTAACTCAGAAATGGCAACTTCAAATCTCAAC